TTGATGCCTCTTCTCCTTTGCCCTCCACATCCAATCATCCGTCTATTCCTTGTGAGCCTTTTATAATAATTTTCCTAAACCATTTTCCACCATAGTTTGGGCTATTACCTAAGTGATGCAAACTCCTAGCTGCTCTTCCTCTCTCCAGGCATTCTTTGGTGCCTCCAATGAGTTTTCCTGCTGCCAGGCCCAAATGATGTCCACACATTACATATCCCTCAGGATCCTCTCCCAGCATCCTCTGCTCCATTTAAGCAACTGGGGCATTCCCTGTTTCCATGGAGTCCTCCACATTCCCCCTCTCTGTCCTCAGGGTTCTAAGCTTCCTCCACTGAAAATTTCCTCCCTCTCTGTTTCCACATTTCAAAATCCTGTAGTCTGTATCATTCAGGGGTTTTGGTTGCAAGAAGAGCAAGTACCTCTGGCTACCTTAAGCAGGACAGAAATTTGCTGGAAGGATAGTGAGTAGCCTGCAGCAGGGCTGGAAAGGCTGGGAGAAGAGGGAAGAACTAAGCATGTTAATCACCTCTGTAGGAAAGTTCCGGACACCCCCAGTAAGAGCAAACTGAGTCTCATCCTTCCTCCTTTGTGCCACACTCTCTAGTTTCAAAGTCCTGAGTGGGAGGGTTTATTGGCCAGTCCCAGGCCATTCACTCTCAAGGGTCTTTTGAGAGTGGAGAGATGGAGGGCTCCTTTGGCTCCTGCTAAGGTCAGGCAGGGGTCTCTCTAAAACCAGAAATGGGGCTGGATTTGGGGCAGCCAAATTATGGTAGCTTCCCACCATGTCGTCTCTCAAGGTTCATTTCTAATGCCACCAGCTAAAACTTAAAGACACTTCTGATTCTCAGAACATGTTTTGTTTAGTACTTTTCATATTTAGCTTTATATTATAGTTATTTGTATATTGGTCTTATCTTTCCTTCAAGATTAAAAACTCAATTTACCTTTATTTCTCCTGAATTGATTCTTATGCCTTACAAATAGAAATATACTCAATATGCTTAATTGAATGGAGAATTAAAATAGGTCATGAAACAGCTGATGTGTTTTTCACATGTCAAATATACAGATAAGACATGTTTACATTATCTCATTTAATCTTCACGACTCTGTACTTTCCTGTCTGAGGCCCAGGGAAGTCAAGTGATCTGGAGCCACAGGCTTGTGGGCAGGCTGTGGGCCTCTTAATGTTCCCATAAAGAGCCCCTCTTGTGGTCAGCTGGGGGTGGGCTTTCCTCCCTTCCTTGCCGCCCTGCTTACAGGCAAGTCCCCCTCTGGGACTCAGGAGCTGACTGGATTAGGTCTTTCATCCATACCCCTGTTCTCCATTATGCAGGAACACATTTCAGTTTCTAAGAGTAAGGGAGAAGGAGAAGAAGAGAAAGGGAGAGGGAAGGAGGCCAACGGAGGGGAGGGGAAGGAAAAGGAAATGGAGGGACTGATACAGTGCCCTCAACCTCATCTTGTGTTTTCCATGAGTCCAAGGGGAGGTGAGGCAAGGGTTGGGGGGGACGCGGAATGGAACTGTGAAGGAAGAGAAGGGGTACAGGGAATTCCTCACTGTGTCTGTACTGTCAGAGGCAGAAATTAGTGGGATTGAGGGGGCACAGTGGGGAGGGCAGACTGACTGAAGCGAATAGCTTTTGTCGGGGCAGGGTAAACAAAGAGATGGTTATGGCAAGACTAAGTTTGGAATATATTAGATTTTAATGTGGATGTGATTTTAGGGGAAAGGTTTATGATTTTTGTACTTTTAATACATCATTATTGAAGACGTTTTAATGGTAAAGCAAATATGGACATGCTAATGGAATAGAATGCAGAAACATACATTTTTAGATCAAACGTCATCTTCAAAGAAATATCTCCCTATGCCGGGTCTTGTGTTGAGTTGAATGGTGGCCCCAAAAGATGTGTTTACCTGGAACCTATGAATGTGATCTTATTTGGAAAAGAGGTCTTTGTAGAAGTTACAAGGCAAGGGTCTGAAAATGAGATCACCCTGGATTTGGGTAGTCCCTAAATGCAATGATAAGTGTCCTTGTAAGAAGAAAGGGAGAGAACACAGGGGGAATGGAGCCATGTGAAGACAGAGGCAGAAATCAGAGTGATGCTGAAGCCAAAGAACGTCTGGAGCCACCAGAAGCTGAAAGGGGCAAGAAAGGACTGTCTCCTAGAAACTTCAGACAGAGCATGGTCCTGGCAACACACTGATTCCAGACACTTCAGACCCTGGCCTCCAGATATGATACTCAAAACTCAAAGGTATTAAATTTTTCTGTTTTAAGCCACCCAGTTGGAGGTAATTTGTTAAGATGGCCCTAAGAAATAACGAATGTAGGCTTTTTAGAGCTCAATTCCTCAGCCTTCCTAGAAGTCCACACTCAAGCCTTCCACTGTCAGAAAACTTTTGAGGAACGGTGTGGGCAGTAAGGAACCTTGGGAAGTTCTTGAACAGGGGAGGCACAAGATAGAAGCAATTTTTAGGATGATCAGGATACTGCTGATTTCCAGTATAAGTTTGGGGGATGGGAAGAAGTGAGTAAACAGGAGACCAGGTGGAAGGCAGTAGGTACCAGAGTTTTGGAATCAAGTATATACAGTTCTGATTCCACCTCTTTCATTTACTGTTTGTTTGCTTTTTTAATGTGTAAAATAAGGATAATACTATCATGCATGAGTTAGAGCTAATATATGTAAAGAATTCAAAAGAGGTACATTATAAGTATTGTTAGTAATCATGTAAAAATGAGGATGTGGCACTGGGGATGGAAAGGAAAGTGCAAAGAGATGTTTAAGAATCACCAGCACTCAGAATCATAAAGATTTAGACTGAGAGGGATCCCAAGGTTATCTACAGCTCTTCTGTCACTGTCCCTGGGGAGAGCTCGGGAATGGGAAGGAAGAAGTGAATTATAATGAGTTTTCTCCCAGGAGCTGAGGTGGCCAAGCCTGAGACTCTGGGAGACTTGTTAGTTCCGGAAGGAGATTAAGTTTCATTCTGAGGGTGGGGAGTTTGAAGATATGATAAACCTGGCAGAGGAACAGCAGATATGCTGGGGAACTGTCTAAGGCTACAGACCTGGGAGGTAATAGCTAAACATCCAGGCTGGAAGCATGCAAAACATGATCAACTCTCTTTAAAATAAAAATGCACATATCAGAATAAAAACAAAGGGCCAAAGTCTGCTTTGGGATATTACTGTTAGAAGTTGGGAGGACAACATGCCTTACCAAAGAGAGAGAGAGATGGGTGGGTCAGGAAGGTAGATAAATGAAAAAATCAACTTTCAGGAAACAGTAGAAATGCTATGTGATTCAGAAAATTGTAGTATAAAGACTGAGAAAGAGACATTGGGTTTTAGGTAGAGAATATCTTTGGTGACTTTACAAAGAATCAGAGAAGGAAGATGAGTTCAAGAACCATGATTCAATGACAGTTTACAAAGCAGACAAGTTAAAATCTGGACAATGTTGTTATTTCTATTTTGAATAAACTAATTTAAAATTGGGCCAGAGCATTGACTATACTTCTGTTTTCCTTATCAGTAAGAAAGGTTTTTACAAAAGGATGGACTGAGCTTCTTTTCCAAAGTCAAAACAGAGAAGAAGGCTGTCCCTTTTTCTTGGTCTTGGACCCATCCCTGCTCAGGCCAATGCACCTCCTTCCAGCTAGAGATTTGTTGAGTGCTTCCTACTGCCAGAGAATATGCCAGGGACTTACATAGGAGTTAGGTCAATATTATCTCCACATTCAACAATTTTAGATAGGTAAAGAAAGGTTCTACATTTGAAGAAGAGAGTCAAACACTCAACTGTGTCTTCAAAGTTACTGGCCCTAAGTTACCCTCCTCTGGTACTTCCCTTTGGGAACAAGGCAGGGGATAAGTGATTCCAATGATACTACCATGTCACCTGGGTAAATTATTATTGTCTTAATAATAATGAGAAGCCAGGAACCTAAGAAAGGATCTCATTAACATGGATCCAGGCTATTCTGCCAGGAAATCACAGTCATTTGAATAGCAGGATTTCCTTCTGGGAAGCCATATGGGAAAGAGATTGGAGAAAAGACATCTGGATGCATATGCTTCTGAAAGGGAAGCTTGTTTCTTTCCTCTTCCTCTTGGGGTTAATATTTTAAGTTCGTTTATAGGTAGGCCACTACATGTGATCAGGTGACCGGACCAGTCCCACTACTGGTGACAACACTAGTGACAACTCCTTCCAGGGCTCACATTCCTGCAACTCCTCACAAGATTCTGACCCGGGTTTGTGCTTCAGCTGGACTCCATCCATGGGAGGCAGCAGAGCTTGGGTTTCTTCTCTTCTTCAGAAGAGCTTCCGACGAGAACGATGGAGTAAAAAAGTGTCTGGTTGGGAAAGTAAATAGAGAGAAGGCAAATAAATAAAAATGCTCACAAGCAATTACAGAGAGGAAGTGACATTTTTATGAAAGTCACTTTTCTGATGGACGACAGGCCTGCTTTGCTGACAGTGCCGTGGGAATACTTCCGCGAGGGGGGCGGTGGCCAAACAACTAGCGCGTCCTGATAAGAAAATCAAACAAACAAAAAGAGTATGGGAAGACCACCCACTGGTCACCGGAGGCTGGAAGCTATGGCCTTTATTTCCTCTCTGGCCCCTTAACCTCATCCCTATCCCTCCCGGCCCTGCCACTCCCCGTGCAAGTCGTTTTAGGCATAGGAACCCTTTCCTCCGCTCAGCTTCGGCATCGTGCTGCGTTCCTGGAGGCCGGGGGGCCGCGTACCCCGCGAGCTGAGCGTCCCGGAGTGAGGTCCAGCCTTCATAGGGCTTCCAACCCGGGCCCATGGCAGGCCTCTGGCAGCCTGCGCGCCCCCAGGTGGGTCTGCGCCCCAACCGCGCGCGCGGGCCGGGCCGGGCCGGCCCCTGGGCGGTGTCACGGCGCAGCTGGGAGGAGCAGGAGGGGGAGGAGCAAGGAGGGGCGGGCGCCGCGCGCCGGGGGAGGGGTCGCTGCCGCCGCGGGGATCGTCAGGCCGGAGCCGTGCGGCCGAACGGGCTGCGGGGAGGCTCGGCCGCCGGTAGGCTCGCGGCGCCCGGGCCGGCGGGGTCCGGCCGGGCCGGCAGCGTCCGCCGAGCGACGGGAAGAGGTAACGGAGCAGACAAAGAGCGGCGCCTGGGAGGGCGCGGCCGCCGCCCCGGGACCCGCGCCGCTGCCCTCCGGCCTCGGCGGGAGGCGGGCGGCGAGGTAAGCGCGGCCGGCGGGCTCTGGGCCGGGGCCTCAAACTTGGGCCGCTTGGCGGAGTTGGGGGGCGGCGGGCTCGCGGGGCGGGGCGCGGCGCGGCGCACCCGGTAAGGGGCCAGGGAACCAGTCCCTTCCGCGCCCCACCGGTGCCCTGGGCCCCGCCGCGGCCTGGCCCCGTGGTCGCGGGCTGCCTGCACCTCCCGACTCTGCGCCTTCCCCCCGCCAGCCCAGTGCCCAACCCCCCGAGGGCCGTTGCTGAGAAGAGGGGGGCCGTTAAGGGCGTGGGTGGGGGGCAGGGGCCGGGGCGGCGAGTTCCCCGGACCGGAGACCCCCGCGCGCGCTGGGAGCGTCCGGCCTGCGGGCTGGCGGCCGGCCCGGAGCCCTGCGTGGGACCGTACAGTGGCCGAGGTCGCCGGTGCGCGAACCCCTGGCAGGAATAACCGCGAATCGCCAGGTCCCAGCGTAGGGACGCGGGAGGCCGAGCGCGGTCTGCAGAACTTACTGTGTTTATTGGAACTATTTATGATTCCTCAGAAAGCTGCTGTCACATCGCATAAAGGAGATTTTCGACTGGGCGAAGGCGCTTTGTGCCGGGTCTCAGGCTCTGCATCCTGTTCCAGATTTACAGGATTCTTACAACCACCTAAAACAAAGTTTCTCATTGCACTCTGCCCTCTCGGTTTATTCAGGGCGATTTAACCACCAAGTGGTTCTGGGAGAAATTGGTGTATGACTTTTAAGACATTGACTGGAACTCTTGTGTGAGTGCAGTTAGCGTGTCATTCTGAGGACGTGTTTAATTTGAAGAACGCTTTGATTTGTAGACAGTAATGATCTTGTTGGAAGGTCTGCGAGGGATGCTGGAGGTCACCGGCAGTTGAATATCAAGCTCCTGACTTTAGCATTGTTAGCAGTTTCAGGGACAAAGCAGGAACGTGTGTGGAGTCGGCGCCTCTCTCTTCAAGGCAGTTGAGTTGGCAGTTTCCCCTTTATTTGGCTTTGTTTATTTTGCCAACAGGTTTAAGGCTGAATCTGCCAAGTTTGCCTGTACAGGATGGGGTGAGCAGGCCCCAGTACTAGGGCTGAGAAGCCTAAACCGTCGCGCAGGCCCATTCTTTCCGTTGACCCAAAAGGAAACTGAACTGAGGGAGGCCGGTGGGCGTGGCTTGTCCGGGTTGTACAGGTAGGGGAGGCCCTTCCTGTTCCAGGCCCAGCTCTGGCCTCTCTCCCGTTTCTCCGAATGGATTTTGTTAGGAATGAGAGCAATTTGAGGTGTCTTTCGTATTTTTGATGTTGCCATCAACAGTTCTTTTCAAGCTTTAAAATGACTAAAAATGAAATTAACCTGGGCTCCTTTAGCCTATCACAACAGATCTAAACTTTGTTCCTGAGCACTCCTTTAAGTCGCTTGCCCAGTGTTCCTAGATAAACGGGTAAATTAATAACAGAATTCAAGCACCTGCGGCGTTTATATAAAGAGAATGGCTTGTCAGTGGATATGTGGAGTAAAAGTGGACTTCCCGCTGAGATTGCGTTGGAGAAGCAGTTTCTAGGTTTTCAGAACAGGGATTTCTCAGAAACAGGTGCTAACCATGCTTGTAAAGCAGTGACAAGGGGAAATCCTACCTTAATATTTCTCTCCTTGAGGTTGGTTAGATATAGTTTTGATGGAAGAAAGTGGTTGGATCTCAGCGGTCTTCCCGCTGCAGCTGTTTGAGGGTGAAATTGAGAACTTTAAGCTGTAGGAAGCTTCTGGAGGACCTTGACTCAGCCTGCTCTCCTGGAGGCCCCACCAGGGCTCTGAGCTTCTCAGTTGTTACATAAACACTCACCAGGATTGATCATGGAACAAAAGGATGAAATTGGGTGGCAAATTGCTGTCCAGAGAATTGACTTGCTCTGCTGCTCCCTCTGCCCACTTGTGGAGAAACTGGCACTTTTTAAGTGGGGGTTTTGGGGTCTAGTTTAAGGTTCATTACAGGTAACTGTCTCAGTTTTCAGGCTTTGCATTCTGCTAAATCATGTATCACATACTTAAATTCTCTTCATCCTGATCTCTTGGACCCTGCCACATTCCCACGCTCTGTCATTTGCATTGGCAGAGTTATCACAGTTTTCCAACACACACATACTATGTACACAGTATTTGAAAATTGAGCTACCATCCACATTAAATACACCAGAAACCTTCCTTTCTTGTGCACAAACTGGATAATCTTTTAAAATACCTTAAAGACTCCCTGATTGCCCGGAATGAGCCGAGTTCTTTACTTGCTCTCTTGCATTAGGTTAATATGCCTTGGCGAGATGAGGCTGTGTTGCTCTCTGGGACATGTATGCTGACTAACTTGTAGTGTGCTCTGAGGGAAAGGGCTGTGGACACTCATCTCAGCCTTAAAAAAATGACACTGATGGGGCTGAAAAGCGGAAGATTGCTTGTGGGGACCGGGAGGGCAGTGTTTAGGAAAACTAGTAAACTTTTATTTCCACAAATGAACTGGAAACTCCCCAGAACTCACCCTAGAGGCTTAGGAAATTTGTCGTCCCATCTGGAGAGTTTGCAAATGGGACTTTCAAATTGTTTCTCTCTGCTAAAATGAGTGATAGAAGACCTTCATGGCATGTTTTACACGGGCCTAGGCTAAAAATGATACCATGTAGCAGGTTGTTGAGTGCTTGAGTTAAGGCAACTTAAAAGGAGGTCAGGAGAGCCTTTTAATGGGTTATCAAAAATATGCAGCTAAAGTAAAAATAGTTTTTTTATTTCTTTAGGTCACTTTAGTAACACAATTTTAAAAATTAGACTTTTTTCTTTTCCTGCATTTCACTTTGAACTGATCTCAAAGTATGTATATTTATGAAGTTATAATCTACATTAGCAAGTTATACCCTTTCCCCCAACACACACAAACACACAGGACTTTATCACAGTCTGCCCTAAAGTTTCTTTGTTTGTACCTTATACACATGGATGCCCAGCAGGTCCTGACTGAACGGGTGAATATTGCATTCTGAGCCTGTTGACTTGTTAGGGCTTTAGGTTCCTATTGAGAAGGAGTAATAAATGAGCTCCAGAATCCTTGTACCTCTGCTCAGAACCTCCTTGACGTGGTAAAAGTCTTTGTCCCCAGGATGTCCAGGAGAATTTGGTCTGGTGCCTTCTTTATTTCGTAAATTCTCTGTCAAATGAACCACTTTTGTCCTTAACCTAAACTTTAAAAAAAACAACAACGAATAAACAAAAGCAAAACAAAAAACAAACCCAACTGTATAACCAGCTGGTGGGTTTGCTAAATACGTTGCTTTTCAGTAGATGGCATATTTGTTCCTGTCAACCTGAACTGGAAACTCTGGGCAAGTATTGTTATACTTGGCCTGGTAAGTTAGTTATTTTGTGCCACCTTATTTTCTACCATTTGTATTTTAATCTTTTTAAGAAAAGAAGCTTCAACTGCATTCAGAATTTAAATGCTGCAATTTCCTCTTTTGAGACAGTTTTAGAAAATAGGATGGATTTGCTGGTCAGTGGTCAATGAAGATCTAAAATGCCATAGATAAAAATTGGTAAATTGGAGTTTACAGATTGCTTTTCACATATACCATCATATTTAATATTTGAAATAACATGGTGAAATTGGCTCCAGGCCTTATTTTAGTGTGAAGAGACTAGAGTTTGGACAGTGCCAAGGATGACAAATCTTGAACTTGGGTGTAAGTCCTTTCTTTGGCACCCTGCACCCCTGCTAAGCAGGCATCAGACAGGGAACACGAAAGTGGTCCTGGGTAGAGCTGTTTTTATGAGGCTACTGATCTACTGGCGCATTCTGATGGAGTGGTGTGTTATAGACCTTGTGCAGTGCCTTTGCTGTGTTGCAGCTGTGAGCACATGTTGGTGGCAGCTGATTCTACATTTGAGTTGACTCACTGAAGATGAGCCATTTTCTGAGGAGCAGACAGGAGCAGGTTCAGTGAACTTCTGTCCTTCATTGTTAGGAGCCGCAAGTTGAAGAATGCTTAACTCCTGTTTAGCGTGCCCATTGGTGAGTTTGGGCTGCTATCAGAGAACACCATAGGCTGGGTGTGAAACAGAAATCTATTTCTCACAGTTCTGGAGACTGGAAAGTCCAGAATCAGGGTGCTAGCAGATTTGATTTTTGGTGAGTCTCTCTTCTTGGCTTGTGCATGGCCACCTTGCTCTGTCCTCACAGGCACATTCTTCTCAGGTGTCTCCCTTTCTTTTTATGAAAACACCAGTCTTGTTGCTTTAGAGTCCCACTCTTATGACCTCATTTAACTTTAACTACCGCTTTGAAGGCCCTGTCTCCAAATACAGCCACATTGGGAGTTAGAGCCCAACATATGAGTATTGGGGAGATAATTCAGTTCATAACAGTATGTGACTCTGTTCAAAGACAAGGCTGATTATTTTGTGAAGTCCAGTTACTTCCTTCAACCAGATTTGAATCCACACATTTGAGGACACCTGCCAGGGCTAATGACAGAGCAGTTGGGAGCAGGGAGGGAATGGTAACTCACTGGTAGTCAGAGAACCTGGAGATAGAGAGGAAGCCTTGGCATTGGACTTCGAGGCACTGGTCAGGTTTTAAGTAGAATGACAGAGATAAAACAACGTTGACTTAATTCCATTTATGGATGCTTATCCTTAATGTGTGTGGGTTCAACTGCAGGCATTTTTTTGTTAGGCTCATGATAAAATATTAGATCTATAGAAAGTGTTGGATTTTTGATGGATATGAAAGTATATTCTGGTCCTGGATGAAGAGAGCAAAGTGAAAGGGCGAAGCTGGTGGCCGCCTGGGGCAGAGAGGCCATTCAGTCTGGGCCAGCTGTTGCTGTGACCACAGTCTTCGCCATGTAAGCATGTGTCCCTTCAGTGGGTGTGCCTGGCAGTGCTTGGTAAAGTCCACCCTGAGCAGCGCATGAATGTGTCTGACCTAGGCCAGTATGAGTTGGTCAAGATGATTACATAAGACTAGGAGAAT